AAATCATTATATTGTGTTATCATGTAGTGTTCAAAGTGAGTACTAAAATAGTTCATCAGAAGACATCACTGTATATGAATCTTAAATACTTAAGTGTGATAAATCCCAGTTCAAAGTAACTAGTGCAATCATTCCAGGTACAAAATCACTAGTGTTATTGTAAGCCATAATAGTGTCCTGTGAAAAAGTGTCCAGTTGGGCAGTTTTTCATCGAAATTGGTATTTAATAATGTCCATTGCCATGATATATTGTCCCTCAAGTAGACAGATTTTTACTGCAAAAGTTATGAAATAGTGTCCACCCACAGGACAAGTTTTCATACTAGTTGCTATTAAATTGTGTCCTCCAAGGGAAGTAATACAAAGGGTGGGGATCTCGACCGTTTACAAGTTCTCAAACAGGAGGGGGTGGGGTGACCCCAGGGACTCACTCTATATTTCATTTTTGATTTGTTTTATTGTCCCATACATGAATATATATGGTTTAGGGGTGGGGATCTCAACCATTTCCAAGTTCTCAAACAGGAGGGGTTGGGGTGACCCCAGGGACTCCCCATATATTTCATTTGATTTGTTATATTGTCCCATACATGAATATATATGGTTTAGGGGTGGGGATCTCGACCGTTTACAAGTTCTCAAACAGGAGGGGGTGGGGTGACCCCAGGGACTCACTCTATATTTCATTTTTGATTTGTTTTATTGTCCCATTCAAGTAAATATATATTAGGTGTGGGTATCTCGACCGTTTACAAGTTCTCAAACAGGAGGGGGTTGGGTGACCCCAGGGACTCCCCTATTTATTTGATTTGTTATATTGTCCCATACATGAATACATACATGTATGGTTTAGGGTTGGGATCTCGACTGTTTACAAGTTCTCAAACAGAAGGGGGTGGGGTGACCCCATGGACTCCCCCTATATTTCATTTGATTTGTTTTATTGTCCCGTACATGAATATCTGGTTTAGGGGTTGGGATCTCGACCATTTTCAAGTTATTAAACAGGAGGGGGGTGACCCGAGGAACTCCCCATATATTTCATTTGATTTGTTATATTGTCCCATACATGAATATATATGGTTTAGGGGTGGGGATCTTGACTGTTTACAAGTTCTCAAACAGGAGGGGCGGGGGTGTCCCCAGGGACTCCCCCTATATTTCATTTGATTTGTTTTATTGTCCCATACATGAATGTATATGGTTTAGGGGTGGGGATCTCAACCATTTCCAAGTTCTCAAACAGGAGGGGTTGGGGTGACCCCAGGGACTCCCCATATATTTCATTTGATTTGTTATATTGTCCCATACATGAATATATATGGTTTAGGGGTGGGGATCTCGACCGTTTACAAGTTCTCAAACAGGAGGGGGTGGGGTGACCCCAGGGACTCACTCTATATTTCATTTTTGATTTGTTTTATTGTCCCATACATGAATATATATGGTTTAGGGGTGGGGATCTCGACTATTTCCAAGTTCTCAAACAGGAGGGGGTGGGACGGTACTGGGGACTCCCCCAAATTATTTTCATTTGATTTCTTTTATTGTCCCATTCAAGTATATATATTGTTTAGGGGTGGGGAACGCGACGGTTTACAAGATAAAAGTACATCTTCAAATTGAAGGGATTTGGGATGACCCCCAGGGACTCACCCTATATTTTGGTTGATTTTTTGTATTGTCCTGTTCTCATTACTGAAGACTGCATGTGTCTATCACCTACTGAGTCATTTGAAAATTTAAAAATATAAAAATCCCATAGGGTTCTATAGTAAACCCCTCCCTTCTTGAGGCCCCTCCAAATACCCCTAAATAGACCCCAATGCACAAACAAAAGATTAATGGCTCCGCTAGACATGTTAGTCTCATATTTTTATGAAACCCTAAGTAAATCTGACAAACGGTCAAAGTTGTCTTCTTAGACGGTTTGAGTGGATTCGGTCCGACTTGTCTCGGGGAAGAGTTGTCCACATTACTTAAAACATCCCATCAACGTCGATTTCCGCATCTGTTTTCATGACCTCGTTTCATTCATAAAATAACAACAACCTTATTTGGCAAGATAAGTTAGAATTACCACCCACTTATATAACTTTATTTCCTCTATAATAGAGATTTGTTGTACATGAACAATATTCCTGCGCATTTTGCCATTTGGGAAATATAAACGACTTGTAATTACCGATTTTCGGCGATGAAATATTTCATACAATTGTTCTTTGACATCGTAGCCAAAAGCACAGGGGATAATAAACTACGTACGGATTTCTATTGAGCACTACTTCCTATGTGCAACTTCAAAAGTTTTGGGTAGTTCGACGATCATTTAAGGTTTTTCTGGTCATATTTTTTGTATTCCAGAAATAAAAGTATTAAAAAAATGTCCAATTAGTTATAAATAACATAATAGCCAGCTAGATAATAACAACTGCACGTATTTCAGCATTTATTGGGTAGAACACAAATCTAGGGTGCTCGCATAAGGCAGCTTAACTGCCTAAAAATCATTTCACACATGCTTAGCTACAATACTAAGTCCAATGCAGGCTTTATATTGCATTCCTTCTGTAAACAGGAAATGTGACTTTGAATATGACAGTACAACCCTCTTGAAGCAATTTTCTCTCTTGTTTTCTATCTTTTGCTGTTTTATTTTCTATTTCATGCAAGTTATATTTAAACGCCATATCTATTATTGGAACAGCTTTCCTTTTAATATACATATTGGATAAAAAATCAATCAAAAAATGTTTAATTAGTTTGGTTCTTTATTATAAAACTTTTAATTTTTCTAAATTTGTATATAGGTAAATGAATACATTACCATAAATACCTAAATAAAGTTTACACAACATTTAAAGAAAATTATCTATACATTAGTGACATGCATAAAGCACAATTTATATTTATCATGCATAATATTATGGTATAAAACAAAATAGACAAAAAAGTAACCAATTAAAAAATATAGAGCAAGAGGTCACTATGTGGTTTTGAGAGATTTTTTTTTTAATAGGAAGACTAATTCAATTGACATTTTAATCTTTTATAATTTATAGACCAAACACATTATCAACAAATTTACCATTTTCAAAAATTAATAATGCACAAGCAATTTATCTTAGAAAGAGACAATATTTAATGCATTTCCTTTTATACATTTAAATAATTGTAAATTAATAAATTGTGACTTTTTGACTTTCTGTCTTGTAACTCTTAGTCCTTTGACTTCTTTCTGTTTTTCAACACATAATGTCAACAATCAACGAGCATAAAATGTGAATAGTCAATTCCAGTTTAAATATTCATCATAATTTAAAGTAAAATTATTTGTAATAATGAAGTATTTAAAGTAAAATTATTTGCAATAATGAAGTATTAGCATATCATAATCATTATGTATGTTTTTCTGTATTTACAACATTTAAAAATCACATTGTGAGGTATATTAAACTAGATGATAAATGCATCCTCTATACAATGAAGAAAATCCCCAATGAAAAATGAGATTTAGAACTAACCTGAATTATACAAAAAGAATCACTGGTGTGACACTTTCCAAAGTTTTTTTGTATGGAGTCTTCATAATTTTTTTTTTAGAAATTTGTATTTAATGTATGCCAAGATTCTCTTATCTTTATTTAGAGAGGCATCCATAGTGGACAGTCCTTATGGTATATATATTTTTTTCAAAACTAAACATAATTGGGGCGGGGGGGATTTATACTACACATATCAAGAAGAAAAAAAACCAGTTCATACCTACAAGGTATTCAAGAATGACATCTTAATATTAGGAAATAAAAAAATTAAAGAAAGTAGTTGTCAATGGTACTCAAGTAGGAAAAGGTATAAAAAAACATCTAACACATTTCTAATAAACTGCGTCGCTGAGCGCAGCTGGATACGCCCGCAGAGGTCCAACCCTGAACAGCTGGGGCAAAAATAGACACAATATTCAAGCTTGATACAGGTCTGAATTTGGATTGTAATTAAATATTTGACATATTATAGGTTTCTGAATAAATGTAGTCAAAGAACTTGAAATTGGTTATATGAATTAAATTTATATTCAATTAAAGATTTCTTGCTGTTGTGCAATACACTGTGCTGTTGAGCAATACTTAGTAAATCTTTTGTCAGACTATAAACAAACAATAACTTCTCAATGTTATATCAGAAATTTATAAAAACCTAAAGGGAGGTTATCTTAATAGATATAAATCAGTCATCAAAGTTTAATGAAAACTGCTATAAGCAGTTTAAGGATATTGTCCAAAAACTTGAAAATCACCCCTTTTTTATGAATAAAATCTTATAACTTGGAAACGTAAAATCTTAAATTTATAATAATCAAAAGGGAGCTTACAACAATAGATATAAACAATTTACCAAAGATTCATAAAAAATGCTGAAAGCATTTTTGAGTTATTGTCCGAAAACTGGAAAATCCCCCTTTTTGTAATGAATAAAACCCCATAAATCAGAAACGTCTAGTCTAAAATTTATAAAAATCAAAAGGGAGCTCATGTCGATAGAAATAAACAATTCACCAAAGTTTCTTGCAAATTGGTGAAATTGTTTTTGAGTTATTGTCCAAAAACTGGAAAATTCCCCCTTTTTTAATGAATAAAACCCACAAAACTCGGAAACGGTAAATCCAAAATTTATAAAAAATGAAAGGGAGCTCACGTGAATAGATATAAACAATTCACCAAAGTTTCATGCATATTGGTTAAAGCATTTTTGAGTTAATGTCCGACATGTTGACTACGGACGGACGGACGGACGGACAGACGGTCAATGGTATACCATAATACGTCCCGTAAACGGGCATATGAAAAGAAGAAATTATAAAACAGATATATCAGAACAATACATTTCCTGAATGTTACATTACTCTATCATAGTGGTAAAATATAAAACAAAAACTCAAAACTAAGTGCAATAAAACAAGTCTTCTCTGTTCTTTAAAATTGTTCTTGCCCTAGCCTTCACTCTTTGACACTTGTATGGCAAGCACTAAGATTAGTCTTGATAAACCTAAAATGAAATGGATTTCATGTAAAATTCACAAAATCTGGTTCAATTATAGAAATAAACATTCATTCTAAATGAAAAAAAATAAGTTTAAACTGTTTTGATCACATTTCCACAAGATGACCTGGCTTTTCTTTTGATATATTAAACTCAATTTGGAATGGTGTCTTCGTTTCTGATCTTCCAGTTTGGACATGTTGCAAAAAATACCTTTTTTGGTTTAAAAATATTTTATCAAGTATAATTCATTATTCGACTGGAACATCTTTAGCTTGAAAGGTAGATCAAACTATCAAAAAATTAAGTGTGATTAAGCGTATCTAAATTTTTTAGAAAAAAAAAACTATTAAAATCAAGGGCAGATAATTACATTGATTTGATAGGACAATTTGTTTTGTTTTTATGGGCGGATAGACAGACAGGGTGATACCTATTATTTAATCACCTCAAAAACTTTGTGGGATGTATAATAAGATGGATAAAGTACAAGATTATATCATGGCAGGAGGTTTTAAACAATAATCTTCAATAGAATTAGCATACAGTACAGTGTAACAATTATATCAGAATTATTTATTTTTTTTTATTTTGGATCTGGAAAATTAAAACTGTACCAGTAAGGTCTCTTCTTATTTTGAAATTAAATGGGAAAAAAAACTAAAAAAAAAAATAATTTGAGAAGACAGTAAAAGTTGATTTTTTGTTCAGGTCTTTAAATAATTCAATTTCTGAATTGATCAAATGTTTAATTAATCCCATGGAAACTGTTTGTAGCAGCATGTCCAGTCTGCCTTACTTCACCAGAGTACTAACCAGATTTTCCATTGGTCAATAAAACATAAAATTTCCATGAAAATTATGGTAAAGATGAATTTAAACATTATCCAATACGCCTGAATTATTAAATGGGTTTTAATGAAGTTGTTAAATAGGTATAAGAAGTTGTGGTATGAGTGCCAATGAGTTAAGTTTATATGTCTCAAATTAAAAGTATTTTTTTCAGATCAAATAATCCTAAATAAATTTCAGTCTCAAACATAGCATTTTTTTGGGGTGATTGATACCATTGTAGGTCCTGGATTTCTTTCAACATCATCAAATAACACCTGCTCGCTAAAACCTTCACTGTTGTTAAGGCAGATGTTCTTTTGGTTAAAATACTACTCTCAACTTCATTACACTCTGAAACAATATACACATAGATATATATTTATATTATTAGATACAGAACAGAGATAAAGAGTTTTCAGTTGCATTATATACACACTCTTTAACTTGATTGACTTAGTCAGATAAATGAAAAACGGTAAAAATCTTGAAAAAAATACAATTTCAACAACTAAAGATTGCTTAAACATGTTAAAAGTACATTAATAGTGAATGATTAACTGCAATAATTTATATAATATAAAAAGAACTTTTTACAAACACAAATCACCATGTTTAAGATTTTTTTATATATTTATACATAAATTATATTCAAAAGTAAGACTTTTAAAGAGGCAGTATATGCAGAAATAGCATTTTTCTTGAAAGAAATCAAACATATTTGTTTGTGCAAATGTAAATACATGTAATGCCTCTTTAAACTTAATTTAAAATTCAAGTCTGTTGTCAGATTGAAAATGGTGACAATAATGTATACAAAAATATTGTTATTTACTGTATCCAATTAAAAAAAATATCATCTATTATACACTACCAAATGCTCTTTGTGTATCATTCTCATCACAGAAACTCCCCTGTTCCTCAACAGCATTTTCTTTTTTGGTATCTTATAAAAAGAAAAAGCAAATTATATTGAAATTGACCACTCACACTACATATATGATGTATTTAAAAATAAATGGGGAATGTGTCCATGGGACACAGATGGACACAGATGATGCCCCCGCTTGCACATCATATAAAGTTATAAAGGGACATAACTGAAGAACGGTAAAAGTGAACCATTTGGTTGAGGCAAACTAAAGTTAGAGAACAGAAGCCAATTAACTTTGGGACGTACCAACGGACAAGGGTAAAACTTAATGACCCCTCCACTACGGCGGGCATAAAAAAAGAATTAAATGCTTGTTGATACCTGTATGTCCTTTTATTCCACGGGTTCAAATTCACTTTAGGCAAAGGAAGGTCCAGCCTGACCTTTGACCAATTATACTTAAAGGTCAACCCGTCACGAGGGTAAAGAATGTAAGTAACCACATAAGTTCCCTTTCAGTATAGTTGCATATATTAAGATCATTTTAATATTAAATTTTCATATTTTTGCTCAATATGTTTTTGTAATTTTTTTAAACTGCAAATATATTAAAGTACATCGGGTGTAACTAACTACCGGTGGGAAGGTCCAAACCAGTAAATGGAAGGTCATGGACCTCGGACCAACACCAATTTGAACACCTGTTTTCTAGTGTATATAAATCTTCCCCAAGTTCAAATATAAATAACACCATACAGCAGAATTAAATCCATATTAATTAAAGATGTTTGCTAGTCAGGTTTTTAAATTATTGTCAGATTTTGGAATTCCTCTAGTTCTGTCCATTTGAAAACCAAAATTTATTTTTGCCACTTCACTCATTTTTCTTTTCATAAATCTTTATTATGCCGGAGAGAAGCCATTTGTAAAAAATCTTATCAAATTCTTGTAATTTTAGCATCCTATCATTTTGTAATAGTGTTTGTGAAGTAAGATTTGTCAATGATAAAGATATCATAATTCAAGAGAGAATTTTTCCCTGCAAATTTTCAATAGCTTATATCTCAAAAACAAGCATAAACAACACAGTCCTTTAAGTATTTTAGCTCTTTTAGTTGTGAGTGAGTGAGTGAGTGAGTTTATTAATCTCCTATCAATATTTACCACTGTTCTGAAAAGCTTGATATTTTGAAACTGAGTAGAAAACATCCTTTAAGTAATTTACCATATTGTCAAATGGTGTGATGTATTCTGAATGTAAATAACTAACCTGAAATAACGAATCTCTGTCTGTCTGAATTCTGCCTACAAAATAAATGAAGGCATAAGAACATAAATTCTTATTTATTTTTTGCTTATAACAATCATATAATAGTGCACATTAAAGACCCATTGGTGGCCTTGGGCTGTTTTCTACTCTTTGGTTGAGTTGTTGTCTCTTTGACACATTACCCGTTTCCATTCTTTATTCTATGTTGATCATTTTATAAATGTGTCAAGCCTTAGAAAATTAAATCTATTTTCTCATGTTTATAGCATGTTGTCTATTTCTCACATTAAGAGATATTTCTTGAATTACACTGCAAGGAGTGAATAAAAAATTGCATGAATATGATTGACTGGGAAATGATGGTGTAACATTCCAATTGGTTATATGATAAAAAGTACATGTATCCATAGTTACCTATTCAATTGTGTAATACACGCTTTCTTTTTTTCAAATGTCATGTACACACTTTTTAAATATTTACAAGCATTTTCTTACGTGATAGTTATTGGTTATGAGTTGTTTTTCGGTTCAACGTCCTTGAGTCCTTGAGTTCTTTGAATCGCTAATCTATCAAATGTTTCATTTTTGTTTTGGGAAGATGCCGAGTGTTTGAATGAAGGCTGTAGTTTCATGTAATATATGACATTATCAATCAAACCTTTTTTTATTTTTTTAGTATGGCCAAAATAACATGATCTATCAAAAAGTCTTCTTTTAAGCACATCACTGGACAAACAGGACAATTAAAGGTGCTCTGTAACAATAATCACCATGAATTTAATTAAATGATCAACTATTGCATATATCCCATATCTCGGAACACAAAAAAGTTTCCTACTACGATGGCTTCAGTGAAAGTGGAAATATTAACACACATCTCTGAATACAAAAAAGTTTCATACTACGATGGCTTAATTCGGTGAAAGTGGAAATATATACCAAGAATAGCATTAAACAAGAACTCTGAACTAAAAAAATAACATACTTTAATATGTAATGCTTTGCATTATGAATTGGGCAGAAATGTTTAAAATAAATAAAATGTGTACCTTTTCTTCTTTCTTCATCACAGACATTTTCTTCGTAGGCTGCATTGATATGGGTTCAAGCAGTTGCTTTTTTATGTGAGTCTATATTAAGTTAAAACAATCTATTACTATAAATCAGATTTTTCAGCATTAAGACAATAGTTTATGAGCAAACTATGATAATTGATGCTGAAGAACATTTTAATATTATCAAACCTGAAGTTAATATTACATAGTTAAATAAATGCATTCAAGATACATTGTAATGTAGTCCAAATATATTCTTTATATGATTTTGTCTTTTGGTTTTGAAGTAACACTATTAATGGATGGAAATGCAGAGATCTGATATATTTATGCAGTTCAATATATATATTTATATATATCAGCACAAGTCATTAAATATATGTTAGACTCAGATTGACGTCTGGTCTCTAATCGACGTCAAAATTTGACGTCACGTTCTAAAATCAGTGTCCAATATTTTAACCCTCTAATTGACGTCCAATGTGACGTTATGAATCACAAAAGCGACGTCTGAAAGATGAGAGTCTCCTCTCATCGCAATGTCTATAAATTTCATTGAATCATTTATTTTCAAATTGATCTTTGTTAATATTATCTGTATCTTTTTGTCTTTTTGTGAAAAAAAATGAAAACAACACGTTATAAATTTAATGCGTCCGAAGCGCTTTTCTTGATTTACCTTCATCAAAAACTAGTAGCTTACTGAAACAATTACTGTTTTCTTTTATTGGTATCAAAACTAGAAGCTCTCAAGAGCCTGTTTCGCTCACCTGATTCTACTTTGGTTTTGGAAATCATGTTAAAATAGATTAAAATCATAACAGATACCCTAATAATGAGTGAGGCCAAATTTGGTTTAATATTGGCCCTGTAATTTAATAAAAAAATCCTGGTGGCCATCTTGAACAGTAAATCAGCAACAAAGTAGCAACACTTCATCAGCACCTCATAAGAAACATTTATGCCATGTTTGGTTTCATTCCATTCAGTGCACCTCTAGAAGAAGCATTTGTATGTATTTCCAATAGGGTCTTATGTCAAAGGAAGTCCCCCCGCTGGCGGCCATCGTGGATGAAGGATCAACTTCAAAGTAACAACACTTAGTCGGCACCTCATAAGGAACATTCATGCCATGTTTGGTTTCAATCCATTCAGTGGTTCTCTAAAAGAAGACATTTGTATGTTTTGTCCATAGGGTCCTTTGTTAAACACTGTTCCCAGCTGGTAGCCATCTTGGATCATGGATCGGCTTCAAAGTAACAACACTTGGTCAGCACTTCATAAGGAACATTCATGCCATGTTTGGTTTCATTCCATTCAGTGGTTCTCTAAAAGAAGTGGTTCTTTAAAAGAAGACATTTGTATGTATTTCCCATAGGGTCCAATGTTAAACTAAGTCCCCCGCTGGCAGCCATCTTGGATGATGGATCAACACTTGGTCAGCACCTCATAAGGAACATTCAAGCCATGTTTGGTTTCATTCCATTCAGTGGTTCTCTAAAAGAAGACATTTGTAAATATTTCCCATAGGGTCCTATGTTAAACTAAGTCCCCAGCAGGCGGCCATCTTGAATTATGGATCGGCTTCAAAGTAACAACACTTGGTCAGCACATCATAAGGAACATTCATGCCATGTTTGGTTTCATTCCATTCTGTGGTTCTCTAGAAGAAGTTCAAAATGTAAAAAGTTAACGACGACGACAGGTGAGCTAATAAAAGGACAAACTTAACATCAGAAAATGACAATAAGACGATCACAGACATCATTATTACTTTTACATGTACATGCATAATAATATTTTGGTGAAAGACCTTCATATTCTTGACCTACGTTGTCGTTTTCTTTTATTGTTCATATAAACAAATAAATGTGGGTATACATTGTACGACAATGAGACAACAACCCAAAGACAAAGATAATCAAAAGATATCTAGAGGGCAGTACATCTATACAGACTCAAACAATAGAAAGAATAAAAACGTACGGCAAATTGTTGAAAAGTATTATAATTTGGTTATATTTTTCAACAACCGTTTTGAGTTATAGGTTCAACCCACCTTTGATAAAGATGAGATTTCACTGCGACACGTCCATAAAACGGACGTCAATTAGAGAAGCCAAAAAATGGACGTGGATTTGAGAACAACAAAAAAGACGTCGATTAGAGGGACATAAAATTGGTCGTCGATTTGGAATGTTATTTTATTGTGACGTCAGATTTGGACGTCGATTTGAGGAACGGACATCAATTAGAGACTGGACGTCGATCTGAGTCTTACATATATACAACAATACCTGATAAAAACTATGTTCCAGTAAAGCTTTGTTTGGTAGGACTACAGCCACATCCTCTGTGACCCCAAATACTAGATCACTTGTCTTTACCCTGTATCTATTAAAAATGCACTATATTAAATATGAAATGAAAGTAACTAAAAAATTAAACAGTCTTAAACTAAAAGAAAAGGGATTTCAGTAGTTGTACAATCATTAAGTAATATTGTTGGTAGGTTTTAATTTTTTTCAGCTCATGTGCAAGTGAGTCCACTTCAAAATTATATCAATGGCCATTCATTATCTCTTTTTAGTTTTTTTTTATAGTGACCAAAGCATAATACCGTGCAGTTACTTATGTGCATGATGATTAGGTCAATTGCCTTGTTTCTAACGATCTTATTATTCTTTAAATACGGTTTTACTAAAAAAAGCTATAAAACCAGGTTAAATCCATAATTTCCTTCATAAAAAATGCCTGTACCAAGTCAGGAATATGACAGTTGTTTTCTGATTCGCTTCATGTATTTGAGCTTTTGATTTTGCCATTTGATAACGGACTTTACATTTTGATTTTTCCTCGGAGTTCAGTATTTTTGTTACTTTACTTTTTACATGTAACTTGCATATCTATCTTATCTAAATATCATTTAATTCCTCTTGAAAGAAGATGTATCATGTGTAATAGGGCCATGTTTCTAGACGTTCAAAACAATAACAGCATGCATTCTTGTAAGAGATTTACCAGGAAAAAGTACAAACGGGTTCAGAAATACACATTTTAAGGTTTAATGGCAAAATAATTATCATTCTTATGTAGGTATCTTAAAATAAATATGTAGTTCCAACTCAAACACCTTTGTATTTTTTTTCTGCAGAAGCCCTTTGTAAAATTGTTAACAAATAAAATAATGCATAGTGGAGCAAAACAAAAGATAAACAAATAAAGAGTAATGCAACAATGACCAACCCTGTTTCATAAGTGCCACTTCTTCATCTGTGAGACTACATTAAGAATTAAGAATTTTAAGTTTTATTTTTTGGGGATTAATTATTTAACATTTGATATTTATGAATAAAAAATACAGCATTTATTTTTCATCATAGATTTTATAAACACTTTATTTTGGAAAATGTATATAATATTTATCATGCATGTACCTGGTATAAATCGAAAAGAAAATTTTGATTTCATTCATGTCAATGTTGGATTTATCAGCCAAATAAAAAAAAACATTAAATGTACAAAATACTATCTGATGTTCTGCTATGTTCTCCAGCCATAATTTATTGTATAATATTATTAATGACTATATACTATTATAAATGGCCATTTGTAGTCATACTATTCAAAATAATATGCTAACTGTTTTTTCTTTTTTTCTACCAATCTCAACTGAAGACACACTCCTCCTTTTGAATGTAGGGACTCCAATTGATTTCTTCATTTCCATACACTGTTATCAAAATTAAAAAAAAAATAACTTTATTAACCAATAACAAAAAATATGATATTTTTTAAAATATTAGCTTTTATTTTTGTGATATGTACACTTCACATAAAAACTGCATTTACAAATATAAAATGTGTGTAACCTGAATAAACTAGCACTTTGAGTCAACTCACACAAGGAAATCCCCCATCCAGCACTGCTATTTTTATATTTATTATAAATCTTTATTGCAATTAAGTTAAAAGTCGAGTTGCTTGAAAGCGGGGAAAACTTTTTTAATTTTTTGGTGTACCTCTTTAACATTTTTGAATGATGATTCCTTATAGAATTGCATAACAGTATTGTTGATTCTTTATGTTACAAAAATGTAATCTCTACACAAAGTATGGTTATTTTCTGAAGAAACAGATAGCCTTTTGAAATACTGTGGATTCATTATTATTCGTTGGATAACAATTTCCGTGGATTTCGTGGGTACAGGTAAACCACGAAATTAAATGTTCAACGAATAACATATTTTCAATAAGGGTTTATGAAGACTTTTGCAAAACCACGAAATCAAATATCCACGAAAATGCAAGTTTTTCCGCAATCCACGAAAATAAGTGAATCCACAGTACAGCAGATGGCTTGTAGTTTAATTATTATTAAATTTCACAGCCAGCACCGTCATATTAAACCTAAAGGGAGATAGTAACTAAACTATAGTACATATATGTAAAAGACCCTTTCTGCAAATTTCGTTAAGAGTGGGCTCTCTGGGGCAGCTGTAGAGGCAATATTTGTTCGGGCAATTTCCAAGTATATTTCATTTGTCTACATGATTTATTTTCTTACGCTTGATTTGTTCAGTACAGTATACATTTTGTCTTGTATCTACAGTGTATCCTGTTTTATTTTAGAAAATGAACAATGTGTCACTCTCATAAAAGAATTTTAAGCGTGCATGACTTTCCAACATATAGACTATTATAAATAAGTATCGCATAACTTTTTCAAATCCTGCAATCAAAATACCGGGACCCTTTCTCATGCAGTGTATAACTTAAGTTCGAGTACATCTACATGTATGCTGTTCATTAAATGTAAAGTAAATCTGAAAATTCTGTTTAAAAAATCAGACGACACGACCGTTTAAATATGTGACTGTTTATATATATATAATTCTTAAGAAATAGGAGAAATATAATATTTTTGTTTATGTATCTCCCAAAACTTTGTTTGTAGGGTGTATAAAAACAAAAAGTGACAGACATTCCTCCGGCATATTTTCCATTCATTCTTATAATATTAGACATTATTTTCATACCTTAATATCAAACGTGGTTTTAGTTTGGTCTGACCTGTTGCATGCACATGAAGTCTCACCACTTCAGCATAGGTCATCTTTGATGAACTAGATGCTGTATGAGATGGTGAAGTTGCAACCCCAGTTATGCACAGTGTTCTAATGGGGGCTTCCATCAATTCCATTGGTACAACTTGCTTCAGGTTGGAATTCCTTAGAATTAAAATGCTTCTCAACCTTTTCTGAAGTTTGTAAATCATATCTAAATAAATAAAATCGGTATACAACAGTTTGTCGGATCCACCACAGATTTGGCAATTTTTTCCATTTAATAATAAAGGAGCATAAATACATGTAACTCAAGAACGGTTACAGTGACGGGAGTAAAATTCAAACTTGATCTGTGTTTTGTGGTAATAAGTAGTGTATAAGTTTTATAACATTTGTTGGGACAAACTAAAGTTAGAGAAAAGAAAAGAAAGATTCAGCAATTTTTGCATTAATAAAGGGGCATAACTCACGAACGGTCAAAGTGATGCCACTCAAATTCGAATAAATTGATCTGTGTTCTGTGAAAAAAATAATTGAGTGCAAATAAAGTAAGAAAATGGAAACCAATTTCTGTACAGACAGACATATGTATGGATGGACATCATGACAACAGTAAAAGTTAATGCCCCTTCGACTAGCAGTTGGGCATAACAAAAAAGTTATAATTATATTATTCATTCTGTCTAAGGATTCAGTTAATTTTCCAGATATTTTTTTTAACTTCAATCTATTTATATAGTTTGATTGGTGATTCATTCAGTGGTAAAATAATAAAAAAATCACACCAGATACATCATCTCATACAGGAATAGATAATTGTCACTAAATACTTGTGGCAAACTATTTTTTTTTAGACCAGATACATTATCCAATACGAAAATAGATTGTCACTAAATACTTAGCTCTGTAGAGAACAGATATAACGTAACAGTACCCAAATTGCACTGAGTACACAAATTGCACATATTCAACAAAAACAGCTGTGGAAATCTTACAAGTTTTCTTTAAGAATAAACACTTAGTATTTTTATGATTTGACATTACACATGTCTTTTAACATAGCTGAATATATTTAAATATACACAAAACGTTCACAGTAAATATCAACAGATGAAGTTTTCACTGGAAAAAGTAAATCTACGGAATCGTCGTCATGCGAAGTTCTCAAAAAGTCATCATTTCTTATTAAATGGATAGTAAGCATGGACTAATGTCAAATTGTTCTAAATATTTGAAGAAATGGAACAAAACATCTAGCTGTTATTCAATTCTTAAGGATGTGAGTTTAAGCATGGCCGGCTGGCCGATGCAATTTGGGTACTCCTCGTAATGGAATCCTGGATCGTTTGGAGGTCGGTTCATACTCATTTTTCAATGATTCAATATGGATTCAAAATTAAATAGGTGTAACTATATAGTAAACAAGTATACATCTACAAAATAAACACAGATTGGAAACTTTTGTCTGCATCATAAAAAAACGTAGGTGAAAAAACTGTCAAAATAGGTGACAGTTCTTAAATGTCTTCTCTAATGAAGAATTTGTGGGTTAGCAGGTCCATGTATCTGTATCTTTATATTTTCTGCCAATCTGTATCTTGTTATATAGCTTCTGCCAATGTAGGCACACCTCTTCCGAGTAGTGTATTTAACAACATGAATAAAAATATCTTCCACCAATATCACTGTACATTATTTACATTCTTGACGATAAAATTGGGCTTAATGTCAATTTAGACTGCATCAACACTTTAAAATCTAAAATATCTATCTAAAGATATCACTGTTTAAGAGTAGACATCAATTAATCACTTAAGGGTTTATATAAAGTTATTATCTACTTCTACTTCAATATAGGCACACCTTCAGTATGATGCCATTTGATGGTGTTTTCAGTTTGGCAAGCCGCAATCCCGGTAAAGGTTTTTTTTTTACACCGAACAAATTTTATTTGTTAATTCTAGAATTTGATTGCACTTTTATGTAAATATGACAATCTTGCAATAGGTATTAATATTAGCTGCCTGTTTTTTTTTTTTATATAGCGTATTTCAAAAGAGAGAAAAAAAGAAACTTTGTTTTTGTTTACCTTTTCTACCTCACACGTAGAGAGCTAAAATAAAATGTAAAACGGAATCAAAATCGGAATTCTTCCGGAGTAATCTCGTTTAATCAATCAATTTTTTAAATAAAATCTTTTTACACGTTGGCGTTTATGTTGTTTTCTCACTTTTGCAAGCATTTTATACACCGTTCAAGTTAATGTCTTTAATGAAATTGAAGGATACGGCGTTGCAAACAGCACTGTATGTAAAACCGAGTACATCTGGAAAACTTGTGTCGACTCGTTTAACATTTTCTAAAAATGATTTCATTACCCTCAATATCATTACCAGCTGATCACTATGACCAATCTGAATGTCATGTGGATATTTCTGTTTTGTTTCTTCTTTCAATGCTGTCTGTGCCTGACTAGTTGACGTTACTTCCTGAGTTGTGACGCCGATATTTCTAAGTCACGGCTTATCATTTTTTACCCGAAAAGGATCAGACAGCAAAGCCCTTCTTTTACCTCTTCTCGTGTATTGTGTGACTGATTTGGAAATTTTTCCTTATGAAAATCATGTTGGTGCCATTCAACACGCAATTTTCTTTGAATCAAAACAACCCTTGTCATGATTTTTGATGTCCCCGAATTGAACATATTTTGTTATAACTACCAGCAGGTAACATCTATACTGTACAGTATAAAAGTATACTGTTGTTAGTGTTACTAGCAGACTAATTTTACTAATAGATTCCCACTAATAGTGGCTAATATTGCAGGATCGGGTGATCTTACACACTTATATGCCTTATTAAGCATAAATCGGCCTATAATTGACATGAAGTTCATCTACAAAAAGACGGTTGTTATAACATCAATCTAAAATATAGATCTCTGATTTCATTATCCGCATATGAGCTTATATACAGTTCGCCAAAAGTTAAGCACCACCTATTTTTATTGCATCAAAATTTTTTTCATTTAAAAAAATCAGTTAATCCTCAAAAAAGAGAAAATATTCATGTAGCAATTTTGCTAACATATACCATAAACAAACCGTAGACTTAAGTTTGTTCACGTATGCAGGTTCTATGCATTTGAAATTTGCATTCATAGAAATAGTGAAAGTTACACAAATCCGTAAAACGGAATTTAAGTTTCACTGTTATTTTATTTTTTAACAACAATTAATCACCCAATATCATTAAAAGTCTCTACAAATAATCTTTGGTATGTTCGGCAAATTTAATGTCAATATTTGAGTCAATAGGATGTGTAACACCCTCTCTTCCGGTACAGTTCCATATCACAGAGTCTCATACTTTGTACAAGTCTTCTGAACTTTAGTTGAGCAAATTTATTCCATTCAGCAACAATTGCGCTTTTTAAATCGCTAAGATTTTGCAAAGGTGGATCTCTGCGATTGAGATTTCTGCCAATGGCATCCCAGACATGTTCGATAGGGTTCATGTCTGGAGACATGGAAGGCCAAAAGATAGTGTCAACGAATTCTTGCTCTTTGTACTCTTTGTACTCGGTTACAATCCTTGCCCTGTGTGGTCTAGCATTGTCGTACATGCACAAGAGTCTTGAAGCAAGTGGAGGATTATCAAAAAGAGGGACTACAATGTTTCTAAGCACCAAAATCTCTGTATGTCTGTCCGTTCATGTAACCCTGCAGAATATGCACACCCACCTTACAACAGTATGAGAAGAAACCCCATACTGTAACACCACCAGCAACGTATGCAGTTGTTGGGCAAATGTTGTTTTGGTCATTAGCAGTTTTATTTCCACGGCAAACTCGTATTCTGCCGTCTATTGGTCGTAACAGAAACTGACTCTCATTTGACCAATGAACATTTTGCCAGATTCTCATGTTCTAGCGTCGATGGTCATTAGCCCTTTGAAACCTGATTATACGGTGCCAGGCTGTTAGGGCAGGTCTCTTGACAACACGACGTGCTCTTAGGTAGCCTCTATGAAGTCGACGGACCAATGTTCGAACACTAACATGACCACCTTGACACCAGTGGTGTCTAAGTTGTGGGGCAGGAGTAAATGGGTTGGTTTTAGCACAACCAATAAGGAGTCTGTCATCACGATCGGTAGTTAAACGGGGTCTTCCGGACCTTGGTTCCTGTGTCAACATGACGTTGTAAAAACCTGACAATGACGGTGTGTTTAACATTGAAATGGTTACCTATGCAAATAGTGCTCCTACCGGCATTTGACATGTCAATTGCTTGTCAAGGTTCAGTCACATATAACTTACCCCTTGCCATATTTCACAGTGACCTGGTGAAGGTCAAATTTAACCTGTACGCGGGGCAGTAGGAAGATGATTTAAAGGCATCGAAACAGTGTATTCGAAAAAGTGCAGATGACCTTTAATAAAAAATTGCTTGGCGTGTTGATCGGAGTTTTTTGTTTTTGTCGTAATGAATTTTCTTGGTGTATGTTAAAGGCAATTCATTACACCAAACATAAATATTTTTTTCGCAATAGTTAAAAAAATATTACCAGTTATATTTAGATGGTGCTTAACTTTTGGCGGACTGTATATATACGAGCACGCGAGATCAGAATTTTATCAGATTGAACAAGCTAGCAGTAGCTATTACGTTTCATTGTCTTCTGTTAAGTTGAAAGCCCACCGACCATATTTAGGTTATAGAGCTAATTTCAGTTGTTCTTTTTTAAATCGCATTCGAAGCAAGTCGCAGAATGCGAGGCATACAGCATACATTCTGATGGTGGAGGCGGCAACACCGTAAACTATTTGTATACCTTTATAATTCAGAGGGTAGAGGAATTGGATTATCATACTTTGTATATATATATCCATTGTGTTACGAAGTTCCCGTCTGTCATATACTTATTTTCGTTGACCTCATTTTCATAGTTTAGTGACTGTTAAAAAACTGTATAGCTTTTTTTCGTCATGCGAATGTCTTACTTGTGAGTTTGAATGTCCCTTTGATATCACTCGCATCTATTTTACCATGAGTTCTAGGATAACTATATTTGGTTACTAATTTTTGGTATCCTTGCAAGGTCCACATGTCGGTCATACATGGTTCACCTGACCTCGACCTCATTTCATGGATCAGTGAATAAGGTTAAGTTTTAGTGGTCAAGTCCTTATCTCAGATACTATAAGTAGTGGGTCAAATATATTTGGTGTATGGGATGGTAGCAAAGTGTACATGTCTTTGTGACAGAGTTCATCTGACCTTAACTCATTTGCATGGAACATTGATAATGTTAATCTCATGTAATACTTGTATAATATAAAAATAAGGAGATGCGGAAGTAAGCAGTTATTGGCAACCGTACGGTCTTCAACAATGAGAATGTATTTTTATCCTTTTCTCTAAGAATTTCGACATAATGCAGTCAGTTGGTTAAACATGCTGTACCAGTATAATCCTGACGTCAATCCTAGTTTTTACGGTAATGATGTTTATGATCCTACTTTTCTCAGACTATAAATTGATAACTTACTTTCATTAGCTTTCAGTAAGGGAACAACCAATTGATTTCGAAAGGAGGGAGGGGAGGAGAATTTTGAAAATCAATAACTTGGCCTGGTATGAACTGAAAATCACTGATTTTGCACAAGACCGGATGAAAATGAATATTCTGCAACATGAAATGCAGGATATTTAAGTATATAAATGTGTAAAAAAGTGAAAATAATTTTGGCGCAGGAAAGCCGCGGAAAAAATTAGAATAGGTAGCAACAGACGAAAAAAAAATGGTCAATCCGTAAAAATGTTCCTGCTGCCAGCTTGGCACATATAGGTCATTGGCTTCAGTGGTGTGCTCGAACAAACCTATTGCCAATTCAGCTTTGAAATTATTGCAGTTTTTTCTGCTGGTGTATAATTTATAACAGGAACGTTGATACATTTTTGTTGTCTTTCACACCGAGAGGGATTTAGGTCGAAAACATCATGCAAGACCATAACATAGACTTGATGTGCCATATTCCGGGTGTGACACGAAACCGACCGATTTGATTCTTATACTACAATTATAACAAAAATATCTATTCAATAAAAAGTTTAAAGTATTGAA